TTCCCCGCTGCTCCTTTCGGTGCATGATGCGTCCACCGCGCACTCCCATCGTCGCTCTCGTGCCCACGACTTGGATGGCATAGGTCGCTGTTTGCTAGTCGCTGGATTGTGCATGGGCTCCGAGTGGAGCGAATGGAGAAGGCATAGGCGTTGGCGGGCTCTACCGGCTAGGCTAGGCTAGGCTAGGCAGACAGGATCGCGGGATCTCGGCCAACATTCCTCGGCGCACGGCGGATTCACGTCTACTCGAAGCTATGGTTAGGAAGAAATGTCGCCCTCAGGTTCAGGAATGTATCGCTCTGCAGGGTGACGTGTTTCGATTCAGTCCTTTCGAATGCATGCTTCCGCGCGTACAGACAAGGTAGTGTACGTATAAACTAGGGGGATGATTCATACACCTTATCCTGCTTGCAAGCTTGATCTGTAGCCGTAACAGCGCATGCGAGGTGCCACCTCGTTTCAGCTACTATTAATCAATTCAAACTCAAATTGTAAGTTTATTTCTCTAACTAAGAGTTCAACTTGTAAATGATTCGCAACATGTTATATGTTTCATGTATTCTTGGGCAATTTTTTAGCAAGGGTTTTCTTCCGGCGCACATCAAGGTAGTTTTAGTGCTGCGCCCTCCTTAGATACCACCGTGCTACTAAAATATGGTTAGGCTGCTAAAAAATCCAGGTACTCCCAGAAAATTAGACAGCATATAGGTTTTGTCCACAAATCAAGAAAAAAAAATCATCATGAGTAGCACCTCATTCATATTTCTCACTGAATGAAAAAACTGAGTGACACAATAAAACTTTTTCTAGCCAATTTCTCCTTTCATGGTTAGCCCGAATGTACTTCCTCACGGCACCAGCAGATAACCGCGGTAAAAATATACAAATATTACACAGCAATTACTAGCTCTGAGGCTCCAAACATAAATCTCAGAAGTTAAATTGGACCGCAACTCGCATCTTGCATCTTATTTGGTTGGCCGGTAGCCTGGGGTACACCAGCAAGGCAACAAACAGCGTAAACCAAATCACACGGCCAACTTAGAACTATTCTAACAACACGATGCCCGACAGGCCAACGCTAGTTGCGTTAGATTACACAGCAAACCAGATGAGAACTACCTGCCTGGCAGACTTAAGCAACGACATTGGTCAGGGCATCAGCCACTTGCTGTCGGGTGGGCAGTGCAGGAATAGCTCCTCTCTCTGTCACCGTGAGAGCTCCGCAGACATTCGCGAACTTCAGGGCTTCTCTCAACCGAGCTTCATCCTGTTTAGGCCACAAACAGCTAGGTAAGCCTAGCACTAAAACCCCTGCTTCAGACTAATGCCGAAATTGCAGACAAGAAAAATACGTGGGCTTGAAAAGCAATGGTGCAATGACAAGAAATGCAAATTCACTTGAGTATATTTTGGGCTGTGATACATGTGTCGTGCCAACTGAATATTTCCACGATCTTTAGATAATAATATGTCAGGGTCTAGCCCTAGCTCTGGCTCACCTTCTCTAGTCGCCCTCGCCCTCTCTCTGTTGCACGCTCTCTGGCTTGAACCAAGGAAGGAGGGAGAACACGGTGGACACAGGGAGATTTCCGGCACACAAACGCCTGCCGCACGAACGGCAATTTTCCTCTAGCGCGAACTCGACTGGGCAACGATTACACAGGGCCGCGTCACTCGCTAACAGACCCACCAACACACACACGCACGCACCCGCCATGGGCTCGACCTGGACATACACTGGCCAGACACTAGTGGGACTATGCCCATACACTAGTAGGACTATGCCCAGACAATGCCCACGCACGCCACGGACCAGACCTGGCGTGCCGACGTCGGTCACCACCGCAGGGCATGGCTTATTTGCGCCAACATAACACTTTCATGGTTGATGTTTGGGCCTTACCAATAGGGCATATTCTGCGCTGCCCTTGCCGGACATGGTTACGTGTTTTCTAGCTTCATTTATCAAATTAGCATGTGTGCAATTGGTAGTGCCCACACATACATATGGCCCAAATACTTACAGATTAATGTGTATACAAAATAACTAGGTGTCCATCCACTCCATAAGCTGTTTTTGATCAAGCACGGGGATTAAACAGGGCATACAACCAACGAAAAAAAGTTAAGAGAAATGACCATAGCATCCATAAAAAAGGAATAGTTAGTAATTTAGTACGCATGTTTAATCATAAATATTGGAGAGAAAGAAATGATATAAATGCAGGGAAGTAAGAGCAAACGTCTGTCAGGTCGTGCTTTTGAAATAAAATTGCAAAAACTTAATGCCTTATATTTTGAAATGAAGGGAATGTGTTCCTACAGAAATGATTAGTATAGTTTTACCGATTGTCCTGCTAAGAAAAGCAAATCAGCATTAACTCCAAGGTCATAGTGACACTGTGATTCCAGAGTTTCAGTTTCTTTTTATGAGTAGCAAAAGATTCCGCCATTCCAGAGAATTTGATACAGAAAAGAATAATTTTTTGATGATTTTTTTTAGATACAGGAAGAATTTTATTGCTCTTTTGCCGCGGCAACAAGGTGGTACATCCAACTACAGGGTATCTCCAGACATTACTAAATTTCTGCAGCAACCCCACCAAAGCTACCTAGCCAAACACAAAGATAGATATGACATAAAGCAAATGAAAACGAAATGCTAATTGCTTGAAAATTGCTCTATTCCACACAAAGCCGAGTATGAAAGTGTCATTCGTCCGCTTAAGATGTCCCTGGCCAATGCCTACAGGGTCGACACGCCGTGATAACTGTGTCCCAAGCGTCCACTTGTGTTGTGACTCTGAATCGCGGACCGTGATCGAAGCCAACACGTACACAACAAGATTTCCAGTTTGTGTTATTTCTATTATAGATTTCTAATTTGCATGTATGCCACTAATGAGTAGTTTGTTTATTCTGTACAGTTTCTCTAGACCGGACCTGTTGTTACCAAAAAAGGCTTCCACCCCACTTTATATATAAAGGCATAAAGCAAACCACCCACACCTGTTTAAAATCCTCAGGACAAAATTTTCAAGAAAAACATCACGGCTAACATTGAACAGAATGTTTGATGTATATAGATAGATGCATCAGGTATGAACAAACATTCATTCCTCATTCAATCAGTTGGAGCACATTCATGGCTTCAGGATAGCACATCTTTAACAAAAACAGATATATAATATCGAGATTAATTAAGCTATCAGTTTTGTGGTTGCCTGCTCAGCACTTCAGCTGCTTGGCGCCTCAGCCTTCAGTAATATGGACTAGGCTTGCGTGGTGGGAATTTAAGTGGTCAGCAGAGAAGATGGTGGGTTTCAGAACGTGAACGCACAGGAGGATAAAACGAATAAACGATAACCTGTGCTCGCCCTCGTGTGTGCTCTGAGGATTATCCTAAGCCTAAGACCCAAACTGGACAGAGTTGGGCTAGGACTTCAAAGAAATCACAAACTGGACCTGGACTCTTTCCGAATTACTCATTTATTTCCTAACTCAATTCTTCTTCCATTACTTACTTAAACTCTTCCCTTTTGATCTTCCTAACATGTCTGCCTTACTGGACTACAACTGCAGCACCAGTCGCACACCTCATGCTGCACCCCAAAAGGAGCCCAAAATATTCAGCATGCTGTGCATAACTTTCTCTATAGTTTCAAAACTTAAAAATTGGACTCTACAGATAACAAAAGTAATATATCACTTCATCATTTGGAAATCATTTCCTACTTCCATCGACAATCAATATGCAGGAAAAATTCTGTATACCTCACCGAGCTCACTCTCTACTCAAGAGGCTGGAAAAGAAAACTCCATATTCTGGCAGTACTGGTCATACCTGAAGGAGTGAAAAATCCGCAGCTAGCTGTGATAATATTCCAGCAACAAAGGCATCCCCAGCACCAGTGGTGTCAACAGCAGTTACCTTCAATCCACCAACTTTCCCACTAAATTCCTGTTGTTTTACAAAAGGAACAATAATTCATACTGTTAATATAGACTTTGTACACAAGACCAGTAAGTGACTGCATGAAATAGTGAAGGACATGATCTCCACCCTACAGGTCTGAATATGCTCATAACAGATAAATAGTTACTTTCCGCAAAAAAAAAAAACACAGATACATAGTTAATACTACTTGATGGAAAGAGAGGTCTCCCAAGGATAATAGGCTAGCAACCTAGCACCACTCGGCTACACAACTCTGGTTTTCCTCCTGCTTTGGACTACAAGAGGGAAATCCATCTTATGCTCTGCACCACGTTTTTTCTATAATTCAGGAAAAAAATTTAAATGCTGTATGACTTCTGCGACATGACCAAGTAGGTTCGAGGAGATACTAAAAGAAGTGCGGCTGCATCTCAGCAATCTCTTACCATTTACCAACAGAAGTTACTGCAAACTTCCAATAAATGACCAGATATACAGTTCACAGATAGACATTACCTTGGAATAATATCTACAGCCATCTGGACCTTCAGTGACAAGAAGCAACTTCGTGTTCGGATGGATAAGTTTCTTCACAACAGAATCATCATATGGATCCTCCCCATTTGTCAAGAAGGAAATCTCCTCTGCACTTGCCTATTTGCAAAGCAGATGCATGATCAAGACAATAAGCCTTTGGTGAACACAAATAATTTGCAGGCTGCTGCCTGTTAGTTGTTACCTTGATAAGATCAGCAGTATCCCATATGCTCAGGATACCATCTCTAGCATCATCAGCTGATGTCCACAGTGGGAGCCTCAAATTCGGATCATATGAAATTAGTACCCCAGCATCTTTAGCAGCTTTGGAAGCTGCAATATGTGCAGTTTTACATGGCTCGGTTATCAGACTTATTGATCCATGATGGAAGATTTTTGCCTAGCATGATTGCCATGATTAAGTTAAGTTCAGCTTGTCACAAATATATTACATGATTAAACAAACCTGTGGTGGTAGAGAAGCATAGATATTGCAAGAATATTATAGAACCATGTAATTCTCGTACCTTCCTGATAAGGTCAAGGTCAAGCTCTTTTTCTTCAAGCAGCATGTCTGCACTTGGATTACGATAAAACATGAATTCGCGTTCACCGTCACTTCGAAGTGTCACAAATGCCAAAGCTGTTCTAGCATGAGTATCAAATAGCAACCCTTGATTGTTCACGTTATTCTCCTTCAGCATGTCAGATAGCATGTATCCAAATTCATCATCACCAACCTGAATGTGTTCAGTGTTAAATACATGAGCTGAAAAAACACCAAGTACACAAATGAATGCACTTTGAGGTGAAAACAACATGGAATTAATGATATTTAGCACATCACACTTTAGGTCTCTAAATATAAAAATGATCTCATTTTCCGAAACAAAAAACTATAATATCTTCCTGAAAGGTTTCTAAAACATGGAAATCTTCCTCAAGGATCACCAAACTTGCAGTTATCTGGCATAAACCTATCAGCTAGATCAAGTATCGAGATCTGCAAACATGGAACCACTTCTTGGCTCTGGTTCCACTCTCCTCGATCTTGGTAGAAGTGATGCTGTACTCATAGGCAAGATTCAAGGTGCATACTACCAAGATGTGTTACATGTGTAAGGATGTCAGAACCATACAAGCAGCCAAGCTGTCTGCAACAATGAGCAGGAGCCTGGAGGAATATGCACATGTTTCTACTCATGCAGTGCCTAAAATGCTGCACAGAACTTTATGCGGGGCACTGGAATGCAGTTTCTACTCATGCAGTGCCTAAAATGCTGCACGGAACTATATGAGTATGTGAACATAGATGAATTTCTGACAGTTTTAGAAGTTTAGGAACTTCCCCACGAGAAACTTTTTCTGAGACCCACCGAAGTGAAATTTGTGGGACGAAAAGTGCAATTTAGTTGATAATATTTCAGGGTGTATGCAGTGCACATAAAACTTTAAATTAAAACAAAAAATTGGCAACAATTTATCTGCGTGTATTTTCCTTTTTTCCAGCTGTACTGTATTTACACATCCTTGAAATTTCTCGCTCTTGTATTACAACATGCAGAAATAGGAAGAAAGTTACAAATTACCTTTCCAATGAAAGCTGCTGATCCACCGAGACGAGCTATTCCAACTGCAACGTTGGCAGGTGCACCCCCTGGAGCCTTCTTGAAGGCTGGTGCATCTGCCAGTGACACCCCACTAACAGTTGGGACGAAGTCGATCAGCAATTCCCCAAAACACACCACATGTGGAGAATCGCTCGTTCCAGGGGTGCCATCACTGTTTGAAATTGCTTTGGTACAAACTATGGTTGAAAATTGAATCAAACAGGAATGATATCAAATTCTTTGGCTTTGACAGAACCACATATAAAATAACAAAACATAGCTAGGAAACAAATCATCTTTCAATCCAAAAATAATAATAGTAATAGTTTAATGTTGAAACCCACCCCAATCATTGCACTTGAAACTCATTTCGGTCCACAAAAAGCACCTGAATGATCACTATACAGGCCAACAGGACCATGATACTTTATTTTGAGAAATGACAGGATCATGATGTTAGTACTTAGGAATGAATTAATGATATATGTTTCTGGAGCATCACCACAACAAAAGACTTGCTACCCCAGTACCCTGGTTAACAGAATATGCATGCCAAACCCATTTGAACTGTATAAATCTTTAAGATACAATAAACCAGCCTAATTTCCAGTCTTCCACACCAGGAACTGTTCGCCATCCGCATATCTTAAGACTTTTTCCTGCCTACACTACCAGGTACTTGTACACAACACGCATACAGCACAGATACAGAAAACAAATTATCGAGAGCACAACGCATGCTTCTCAACCATGCCCACACCCACCATTCTTAAGCGCAACATGCAACCAACTTCCAAATATATGACAGGAACCGAAGGTTCAGTCATCCATGTCTCAGGCCAGCTAGGCATACCGGAGTCTGCATCCATTTTGTCCCTCAGACGGTCAGTACCACACTAGTATGCTACTCCTTCAGTAAGACCAAAAGAACTGTTCAAATCGCATGCGTTTATGCCTGGGGAGTCCATTCACAAGGGCGAAAAAGCATGTGTCCATCAAACCTAACTGGCATTCGATGATTTGAACTATAGTTGATACCTAGCGAGTCAATTTATTCACACGAGGGAAAAAGCATGCGTCCACCACACCTAACGCATTCGATGATTTGAAGAACTACATGGTAGTGAGCAGCGCGCCAACGCCTACAATCGCTTAGATCCTGGAGCTGCCTAAATAACGTCATCAAATCCGCCTGAATACTAACCCCAATCATTGGCAGGTAGCAACTACCTGTACCGTATGAGCATCGTGCACTCGTAACTGAAAGCATAGAAGCACGTGGATCCAGTAGGCTACCTGCTGACTTCCGGAGCGGCGCAGGCGCGGCGGGGGGGAGGGGTCGGAAGAATTGCCTGCCGCCGACGCGAGGCGGCGGGGAGGAGGGGAGGCAGCGGCCCGCGGCGCAGGGCGGCGACGCCGCGCGGAGAGCCATGCAGGTGTGGATGCCGGTACGGCCTTACGGGCTCGAGCGGCACCGACCGACGGGTTGGGGAGTCGCTGCCGGCGGGGATAAGCGGATTGTGCTGTCGCTGCCGGCGGAGGAATGCGGCGGAGGAGGCGAGGCCAGCGAGCGGCTCTGTCTCCTGATTGGTTTTGGCTGCTGCGTTGGTGACCGGCGGGTGGAGTGGCGGCCAGCTGTGCGGGCGTTTCCCGTGAGACTAGGGAGGATGTCTTTTGCCGTCCGATCTCCGATGTTCGTGCAAAACGCCGAATGGACGGCGCAAGATTAACAGCAGCTTGGTAGCAGAAGCTAGTGGAAAATTTGCAAGAAACGGTGAAATGTTTCAACATTCTTAGGCTAGCCACAGTGAAGAATAACATACACATATCTCTAAATTATGTTACTATATTCATTTATTAGGTTATAGACTCATATTGCATTGAGACATGTAACTAGCTAAGTTACTCAAACTACCTCTATCTTCATTAACTCATTGTCACATAAGCAAATTTGTTGAGTTAGACTCTATGTTACTGCTGAAGTTACTCCCATTGTAGATAGTTTTACTCTAAAAGTGTGGGAAAGAGCAACTCTAGGGGAGCGTTCGATTGCCGTAATAATGGTCACTATAAACTTTTTATCGAAAAAAACTGTTATAGCAAAATCATCATTCCATTATCTATCGCCATAATTTTTTAAAGGCACGTGCCTCGCATGTAGGCAGCTTTCGCATTAGTCGTGAGGCCACGTCCCTGACCATGCATTGAATGCCGATGCAGCCTACCGTGCAGTGGCAGAGCTATGCACAGGCAAAACTGTGCTATGGCCCGCCCAATACATGGTTAAATCAGTAGGTGTCATGGCAAAATTAGCTCAAACAAGGTAAAGTTTGGAGGCTTCCCTTTAGCTTAGCCAAATCTGGCCCGCCCAGCATACCGTCCGTAGCTCCGCCACTGCTACCGTGCGTAGTCTTTCACATGCCTATGTATAGTAGACCGCCACCATCACAGTTTATAGGCAGTTGATGACCCACAAGTATAGAGGATCAATTATAATTCTTTTGATAAGTAAGAGTGTCAGACCCAACGAGATGTAGAGGAAATAAATAAGCGGTTTGCAGCAAAGTATTCTCTGCAAATGGTAGAAGATAGTTTTGATAGATAACTTGATAGCAAGATTATCGGTCACAATTGACAAGTAACAAAAGTAATAAGGTGCGGCAAGGTGGCTCAATCCTTATTATTGCTAAGGACAAGCTGGAAGTATTTCTTATAGTGATTAAGACGTTCTTCAAGAGGCATAAGAATTTCATCTAGTTACTTTCATCATGATTCATTAACTGGCATTCATTGCTTTGATAAGTTGTTATGTGGGTGGACCGGAGCTAAGGTCTTGTTCTTAGTTGAACAAACAACCTACTTATAATTACCCTCTCTCGCAAGCATCCGCAACTACAAAAGAAAATTAAGATAAAACTGACCATAACATTAAACATGTTTCGGTAAACCTGCGAGGATGGAGTTAAGAAAAAAATTATATGTATAATTCCGACATGATGAACCAAATACATAGGATAAAACTTCTGATGGAATTCCAGCTTCAACCGGTTCCAGTCCTATGTTCTGGTATCATCCAATAGCCTATACCATGTCAATGTTTTCCCCTCAAACATAAAGGGAATATTTTCTTCTTACTCTATCCTCGGATAAACTTGTAAGCTTAAACAATCCACAAATTTCATTTATATAGATTAAGTGTATATCAGGATGTATTGTTCCATCTCGTGCATAATGATTAGCTAGCAGTTTCTCTAACATACCCGAAGGAATTTCATACTAAATATTTTCACTGGGTTGAGAGGCAACTCTTATTGCTTTCGGTTGAGGTGGAGATATCTCGAAGAGACCCCTCAAAGAATTATTTTCCATAGTGACAAGCGACAGTAAATTTCAGCGCGTACAAAAATGTTTCCTTACCAAAGACGCTTCACTCCCCGGCAACGGTGTCAGAAAAGAGTTTTGATGACCCACAAGTATTAGTGATCAATCGTAATCCTCTCGATAAGTAAGAGTGTCGAACCCAACGAGGAGCAAAAAGAAATGACAAGTGGTTTTCAATAAGGTATTCTCTGCAAGTACTAAAAGTAGCGGTGACAAATAGTATTGTAGTAAGATAGTTGGTAACAAGTAGCAAGTAGCAAGAGTAACGAAGGTGCAGCAAGGTAGCCTGGATGTTTTCTTATAGTAAGCAAAGCGTTCTCGAGGAAACATGAGAATTATTGTCTAGTCACGTTCATTATGTTTAGTTGATTCACATTCTTTATTTTAATAATTTGATATGTGTGTAGACCGGTGATAGGGGTGTTGTTCTTACTTAAACAAGCAACCCTCTTATGATTACATTCTCTCGCAATCATCTGCAACTACAAAATAAAAAAGACAATCTTACCATAGATGAAATTTATGGATCCAAATTAGCCCCTTACGGAATAACACATAAACTAGGGTTTAAACTTCTATCACTCTCGCATCCCATCATCTACTTATTACTCCCCAATGCCTTTCCTTAGGCCCAAGTATGGTGAAGTGTCATGTAGTCGACATTCACATGACACCACTACACGAAGAACAACATACATATAATCAAAATATCAAACGAATACCAACTTCACATGATTACTTATAACAAGACTTCTTCCATGTCCTCAAGAACAAAAGTGTAGGATCGAAAGTAGGTCCAGAGGGTGGGTGATTAGACTACTTGACCAAATTAAAATCTATCATTTTCCCAATTTTAAGTCTTGGCAGATTTTAACAACTTAGCACAAGTCAAGCAATCAACCTACACATGCAATTCTAAGAGTATAGCAGCGGAATGTAAATCATTGCATATGAAGGTAAAGAGAGGGGTTTGGAAAGGCAAACACAATGTAGACACGGAGATTTTTGGCATGGTTCCGATAGGTGTTGCTATCGTACATCCATATTGATGGAGACTTCAACCCACGAAGGGTAAAGGTTGCGCGAGTCCACGGAGGGCTCCACCCATGAAGGGTCCATGATAACCCACAAGTATAGTGGATCGCAATAGTTTTCGAGGGTAGAGTATTCAACCCAAATTTATAGATTTGACACAAGGGGAGCCAAAGAATATTTGAAGGTATTAGCAGCTGAGTTGTCATTTCGACCACACCTGGAGATTAATTATCTGCAGCAAAGTGATCAGTAGCAAAGTAGTATGATAGTTTTGATAATAGTAGCAGTAACAATGGTAACGGTAACAGTGATAGCAATAGTTTTGTAACAAGTGCAACAGAAATGATAGCAATAGTAACTTAGCAAGAACAATATAAGATAAATTCGTAGGCATTGGATCGGTGACTTGTTGGATGATATTCATCATGAGACAGTTATAACCTAGGGCGATACGGCACTAGCTCCAGTTCATCAATATAATGTAGGCATGTATTCCGTAAATAGTCATACGTGCTTATGGAAAGAACTTGCATGAAAACTTTTGTACTGCCCTCCCGTGGCAGCGGGGTCCTATTGGAAGCTAAGGGATATTAAGTCCTCCTTTTAATAGAGAACTGGAACAAAGCATTAACATATAGTGAATACATGAACTTCTCAAACTACGGTCATCACCGAGAGTGGTCCCGACTATTGTCACTCCAGGGTTGCCAGATCATAACACGTAGTAGGTGACTATAACTTGCAAGATCGGATTAGAACATGGATATAATGGTGATAACATAAATGGTTCAGATCTGAAATCATGGCACCCGGGCCCAAAGTGACAAGCATTAAGCATGGAAAAGTCATAGCAACATCAATCTTAGAACATAGTGGATACTAGGGATCAAGCCCTAACAAAACTAACTCGATTACATGATGAATCTCATCCAACTCCTCACCGAGCAGCGAGCCTACGAAGGAATTACTCACTCCAGGTGGGGAGCATCATGGAATTGGCGATGGAGAAGGGTTGGTGATGATGAAGAACGGAGATCCCCCTCTCCGGAGCACCAAACGGACTCCAGATGTGGCCTCCCAATGAAGAACAGGAGGTGACGATGGCTCCATCTCGTGGATCGTGATAATTCTTTCTCCCCGATTTTTTTCTGGAAAAATAGGATTTTATAGTATCGGTTTCAGGGTCTGCGGGGCCACCAGGTGGGGACAACTCACCTGGGCGTGCCAGGAGAGGGGGCGCACCCTGGTGGGTTGTGCCCACCCAGGTGCCCCTCTCCGGTAGGTCTTGGCTCCAGAAATTCTTGTTTATTGTATAAAAATTCCCCGCAAAGTTTTGTTCCATTTCGAGAACTTTTATCTCTGCACAAAAACAACACCATGGTAGTTCTGCTGAAAACAACGCCAGTCCGGGGTTAGTTTCATTCAAATCATGCAAATTAGAGTCCAAAACAAGAGGAAACGCGTTAGGAAAAGTAGATACGTTGGAGACGTATCAGTCCACGAAGAATCAACCTTGTCTATCCCATCATGGCCATCGCCCGCGAAGGACTTGCCTTACTTGGGTAGATCTTCACGAAGTAGGCGATCTCCTTGCCCTTACAAACTCCTTGGTTCAACTCCACAATCTTGATGGAGGCTCCCAAGTGACACCTAACCAATCTAGGAGACACCACTCTCCAAAAGGTAATAGATGGTGTGTTGATGATGAACTCCTTGCTCTTGTGCTTCAAATGATAGTCTCCCCGACACTCAACTCTCTCTCACAGATTTGGCTATGGTGGAAGGATGATTTGAGTGGAAAGCAACTTGGGAAGGCTAGAGAACAAGATTCAAGTGGTTGGATTGGAATGTCTTGGTCTCAACACATGAGTAGGTGGTTCTCTCTCAGAAAATGAGTAGTGGAAGTGTAGGCACGTTCTTATGGATCTCCCACTAATGGAGAGGAGGGTGGAGGGGTATATATAGCCTCCACACAAAATCTAACCGTTACACACAAAAGAGCCAACTCGGTCAGAC